CTTCCTTCCTTCCTTCCTTCCTTCCTTCCTTCCTTCCTTCCTTCCTTGTTTCCTTCTTTTTCCCAGTGAATACCTAAAAGTCACTAATCCCAGAATAGCCAGTTGCAATCCTGGGCCACAGTTTAATAGAATTAAAGGTTTCATTCACTGCTGGCACACAATGCTTGCTGTGTCCAGAATTATTGCTGTCCAAAAAAATGGCTGAGAAGCTGGGAAGACTGACTGCTGTGGCGAGACAGGAGGTTGTCTGCACAGCAAGGGAGAGATTGCTGTTCCTGAACAAGCATGAGCAACAGTTCTATATGGGATCATTAATGAACTACATTTTAGTGAAGAAAAAAAATTTAGAAGAACAAAAAACTTTGGTTCAGGAAAGAATTTGCAAGGGAAGAGATGTGACTGATACACTTTGAGTTTGAGTTAGTGCTAATGAACATTTGGTTACCAAAGCTCGTGTATTACAACAGCAGAGAAGGACTAGGAGGAAGCAGGAGTGCTGTGCGGGGCACAAAACGAGCTCTGACAGGTGAGATTAGCAAAATCCTTCCCACTGTCACATCTCATGGCATCTTCCCCCTTCCCTGGCCAAATGACACCCTCACCAGGACACGATGAGGTCACTTACGCCACCAATTCATATCTAGAAAGGATTCAGAGGAGGAAGTTCAAGGAGGTTTTGTAATCTTAGAGTCATAAACCTGTGTGGCCTCCGCACACTAATAAAACCTGTGGAAAATGATAAATGTGTATCTTCACAGAAAATGATAACTGTATATCTTCCAGTTCACTTTCCTGCTTATCACTGTGTTGCAAAAGAATAGTGAATTTTCAACATATTTTCATGTGCAGACTTGGAGTTCCCTAATTTATAAGTCACTGCATAGTAAACATAGCTAGCAGACAAAAACAAGAAGTTTAAAATCTCTCTGTAAATTCAGTTTATAACTTGGAATCTTCTGTGTTGCAACATCCAGTCCCTGGTGGCCCTAAGCAAACGGTTTTACTATGGCTTTTCTGATATTTCTGCCACAAAGCAATGGGTACCAGGCTTTTCAGAGCTGTTTTAGTAACAGTAATGAGAACACAAAATAGCCATTAAGTACCAGGTCCCAAAGATTTTACAATATCTCTTCGAGGTCAGGATGAGACATGAGATGGAAGAGGATTTCCCTATGGTTTGCTGCCATATTTTCCTATTATCCTTTGGAGCCTGTAGGCTCAGCACCATCTACAACTTCTTTGTGATGGCAGCTCCTACGCTCTAGGCTGACCTGTGGTGTATCAGTGGCCAATACTGGATCCCTCTTCTCTCTTTCTAAAGCATCATAAAATTTAAGTCACCCACTCAGCACCGATGGATGTGGTGATGCAGGATCAGATCCTTACTCCAGATGTGCAAATAAAACTCAAAGTTATTTGATTTTGTATTACCCAGGCCACCAATTTTTGTCCTTCCTGCTGAGATCTGAGAGTAGGAAAGAAATGAAAGTAAGCCACAGAAGATATAGAGAGGAAGAGAACATAAGTGACTGCAATAAGTATAACATCTCCCAGGAAAGAAAAAATACCAGCAAACAATTGCCAGTTGTCACTGTGCATTCATTTCAGCTTATTTCCAACATGCTGTAATAAAACCAAACCTCTCTCAGGAGACTGTCTGGAGAGTCT